GTGTCTGTAAGAGTGATTATATTGGATGGATGTGAGGGCCAGGCTGACTGAGAGTGAGTGTGGTTGAGAGTGAGGGCCAGGCTGGCTGAGAGTGAGTGTGGCTAAGAGTAAGAGCCAGGCTGGCTGAGAGTGAGGAGCAAGGTTGCAGGAGTCAGTGTATCTGACAGGCAGCTGCTAACAGTCACCTGGCTGTGCATGATGTGTGTAGACATCCACAGCATACTTTGAAAGGTGGAGATAGCAAAAATTACTGAATTCAAAGATGGGGGGATAACCCCTAAATAAAGATCTGCCAAACATATTCAACCAGAAATAAATCTTAACTTTTGAATCACCAAACAATTTTATGTATCAATTTTGTTTCATACCGCGCCTGGGTGGTATGTTTATTCTTCATTCTCGGGTCCTCTACCAGAGGCCTGGGAGTCTGAGGGTTCTGCACCATACCTTAGCTGCTCCTAGAACTGCGTCTTGTTGACAGGGATCTCAGATGTCCCACCTGGAATCTGCTGAAGCCAATACCTAACTTGGGAGTCACGGCCCTGAGTGCGCCTATCGCAACTGGGACTACTACTGCCTTCACATTCCGCATCCTTTCTAGTTCTTCTTTGTCCTTGGTATTTGTCCACCTTCTCATGTTCCTTCTTCCTGATGTTTAGTCACTGGGTATTGCCACATCCACCACGACTGCAGTCTTCCGTTCCTTGTCTACCACCACGATGTCGGTTTGGTTGGCCACCACTTGTTTGTCTGGATCTGAAAGCCCCACAGGATCTTAGACCTGTTATTCTCAACTACCCTTTGTGGTATCTCTCATATGAATTTAGGTAGGTCCAATCCATATTCTGTGCAGATATTTCGGTACACAATTCCAGAAACTTGGTTGTGTCTCTCTGTGTATGTTGCTCCTGCTAACATCTTGCACTCGGTTACTATGTGCTGGATTGTCTCTGAGTCCTCTGAACGGTCTGAGCCTTGCATCTTGCCTGGTGTGGTTGACCCCCAGTGTCTATCAATCTGCTGCTAAGTGCCTGTTCCTGTGCTGCTAGGATTAATGCCTCAGTGCCGTCTTTCAGTCCTGTGTTTTCCAACCAATGATAGGTTTTTGTAATGTGAACCACATCCACTACCTGTCGGTGGTACACCCCATGGAGAGGTTTTTCTTGAGATGGAACCTCCTCCTTTTCTACATCCTCTATCTATTGTTCTTTCAGGCATTTCCTTAACAGTTCATCATTGGGAGCCATCGTGATATAATTGTGGATGCTCCTTCCTTCCGGCTGGTGTACTGTCTCTGGGTGCTGGATTTAAAGTGGAATCCTCCATTCATAGTGAGTAGTTTCTGCATCTTGACATCCATGGTGACCAGCTTTTCTCTTGGCCAGGTTATTATACCAGCTGGGTACATGATGACAGGTAGGGCATATGTGTTGCTGACGTGGATCTTGTTCTTGCCATTGAGATGGGACTTTCGGATCCGTCTGAATCTCTGGAGGTACCTGGATGTTGCTATTCTTCTTGCCTCTTCCTCATGGTTGAAATGTGTTTGTGGTAACCCCAGGTACTTGGAGCTGTTCTTTACATCTCCTTTTTGACCTTCTGGGACTTGAGCTCCTTCTGTCATGATCATCTTCCCTCTTTTGGCTATCATCTGCCACACCTATCCAGTATGAACGACACTCCAGTGTCCTTGCTGTATATTCTAGTTGGGTGGATCAGTGAGTCAGTGTCCCGATCTTGGCTTACAGCTTGATGTTATCCATGTAGAGTAGGTGACTGATGGTAGCTCCACTATTGAATCTGTATCCATTCTTTATTATGACCTGGTCAAGAATTTGGGCGACCACTGATGCTGTGACATTATTGGTCTCTGTGATGGTGTTGGTTTGGATTGTGGTCAGGGATCTTTGGTAATCTTGTCCCGTTGTCAAGTACGGCTAGCTTTTATATGATCATCTTTCTTATATCTGTTGTTATGTCATCTTGGCAAACCTCTGTCAGTGGGACCGCCCACATTGAAGGCAATGAGCAGATTTTTCGTAATCGCCATCACATCTGCTACCTGGACAAGGTAGTTATCCACAGCAGTATATGGACTCCCAGGATGACCTTCACCAGGGAAGGTGAGCAGGGGCTTTTTGAACAATTTGCAAGTCGGTCAAGACCACAGGAGAGCAGTTGCCTACACAGCTAGTATGCCGCTGAGGATGTTACACAACATCCAGCGATGCTATGTCACGCATATGTAATCAATTATGCAAATTAGCATTCCCCACTGATATATTACTGGGGGACTGACAGACACTCCTACCAGAAATATTACTGGGGACTAACAGACAACCCCCTAATATATAACTGAGGAGAGACAGACACCCCTCCCTGGTATATACTAGGGGGTATACATATATTGTTGGTTAATTTGCATCTCACATTTTTGGATATATTACAAATTGCATTGATACATTAGAATGGAATACGCAATTAGGAACAAAAAATCATTTAGTAGACTCAAATAAAAATCTCACCCCAAAGAAAAGCTGCATGTAATTTGTTTCTGCGTGTTTTCTTTGCAGGGTGTATAAAATCTTTACTTGCAACAGCTGCAGATCTTGTATCTGCAGCTACTACACACCTTTCCGTACCAACCCAGACTTTCTGTGACTGTCTAATCAGACTGCCCAATGCAGCTCAACGAGAAGTCTTTGCAAGGCAGGTGCTCTGGGCGATAGCTGTCGTTTTTTTTTTTTCTCCACTGAGCTCAACAAACCAGGAAGTAACAGGACGGGTGTAACTAGGTTCATTTTTAAAAGTGCCAGTTTCTATTGATGGCCTTTTTTGTGGAAACGCTTTTTAAATTTTTTTTTTTTTTTAATATTGATATATTTTTTTATACATATTTTTGTTATATTTTAATATTTTGAAAAAATAAGTGTATGCAAAAATATTAAGTCATTTGAAAAGCTTTAAAAAAATTAAATCGAGGACGAAATTAGAAAAAGATGACATTCTCCTTACACATAAAGTATTTTAGCACGCTGAAGTGCCTTTATTGTAATTTGTTTTTATTGAAAAAAAATTCTTAAAACATTTTATACAAATAGACACAAAAAATCATACAATAATCTCAGTAGGATATCTTTTTCGTATGCAAGTATCTTTACGTTTCATTACATTGTACAGTTGTTACTAGTTTTCTTCAAATTTAACTTAAACAATTACACAGGTTATTGATATACTATGACTCTAATAACTTTATCCTAGAATTAATATCTATAATATAAAACCCTGTTTTAGTACAATTTAACACCATCAGTACAAACGTTCTTGTACTCAGTAATGTGTCTATCCATCCTTTGATTATCTCACATTCATTCAAACGTCTATGAACACTAAAACATAGATTGGGTTAACTCTTTACTCATCATATTTTTAAACGATTATAGCGGCCATGATGTTTAATATACCCTTATTTTCATTCCTTTTTCCCTTCTTTTTTTATAATTCTCTTTTCACTGGTAATATGTTTTACTTTATGCTGTAGTTCCTTCATCTTGATTTTTATTATTTTTATCCTTCTATATGATTTATATCTGCAATAAGGGTAGCATATAACTCTCCTAGTGTATTTTTTTTTTTTTTTTTTATAAACATTATACCAGATCACTCCCTTTTCCATCTCCAGTTGGTTCAAAATTTGACTCTTTAATTCGTGTATATTTGGAATGTCCGTTTTTTTTCCATGCTTTTGCAATCAAAAGCTTGGTCGCCATAAGGCAGTGAGGAACTAGTATTTAGTTTTTTTTGTCTAGCTTATCATAAATATGTACTAAGGCTACTTCTGGTGTAAAAGTCAAACTAGCTGTGGCAAACCTAGCCACTTGGACTGCAACTAGAGACTATGCCTTTAAGGGTTGCCTATAGGTCCGGGGAGATATGTGCTTCATTCTATATGTGTATGCTTTATGTATGTTCTGCATTACCTGTAATTGCCTTTTGCCGAATGCAAATGGCGGTTTGTATGGGGGTTTTCTTTCGTTTCACGAACGGCACTTTGGAGGGCCGTTCGTGAACCGAACGCAATACCCCTAATAGCCCACACACTTAGAGGCGTGTGGCGCTAGTTAACCGATTGCAACAATGTTGCAATCGGTAATTAGAGGCTCTCCTGGGTGGCCGGTCATCTTGGATCCTTTGTTCCCTCAGCGGTGTTAGGTCGTCGAGCGCATGGTACTAAAAACGGCTACTCGGCGGCACGAACACCACTGAGCTTCCAGGACGTTCGGGAGTTTCGGGCCATTCGGGATTTTGTTCCCTAAAAGCAATCGGTCCTTTTTATATGTTTTATAAGAAATGTGTTTTTCGTGCGGCGTTCGGTTAGTTTAGCTGGGATCTGAGCGGTAATCTCACAAATGATGCGCTCAGACTCCAGCTATCTACCGAACGTCCATTCGTGTAAATCCACCGTATATTA